AGTTGCAAGTTCTTCAAATGTGCTAGACTTGATACCTTGCAAGATGTAGCGCAATCCCCAATGCATGCCTTGGATGCACATCTCTATGCCTGAAGCTTCACTAAGCCTGTTTTTGCAGTTGAGGCTTGCATTCCTCCAACGATTGATAAAGTCGATAACTGGTTCCCCCTTTCGTTGACGAGTATTTGTAAGTTCTATCATACTCACAGTACGTCTCGTACTATTTGTAAGTTCTATCATACTCAGAGTACGTCTCGTACTATAAAAGCGATTGGGAAACTCTTGCTCTAGTTGATCCCAGCTATCGATAGATCCAGCCTCGAGGTCCGTGCACCAGTCAAAAACATTTCCTTTTAGCGAGCGGACAAACTACTTGATGAGGTGATCTCCATAAGTCCCAGCATTGTTGCACGTCTCCACGAAGTGCGCAACATGTTGCTTTGGGTTACCTTTACCATCAAACTGTTCAAACTTTGGGGGTTGATAGCCAGCAAGCATCTTCAACATATCGACCCTTGCAGTGTAAGACTTTGCGTATGTAAGGGAGGATTTGGCAGCAACTTCATATTTGTCCTTAATGGTTCCTTCAATGAACTCCTTCAGTTGATCGATTGGAATTATCCCTTCAGATGAGACAGGGATAGCCTTAGTGGATGCTGCTTGTCTTGGGGGAGAGTCACTCTCTAGAACTTCTGGGAGCTTGCCGGGTGCATTGGTGGATTCTTGTTCCATCAAGATTCCCACCCTGTTTGTTAGCTTGGCAATTCCAGCCTCTTGATTTTGCATGCATTTGGTCAAGCTAGCGAGTGCTTCCGTCAGGTTTGCCAACTGCTCCTCCATAGATGAAGTGTTTGTCACCATGGCTTGCATGATTGTCGTGGACGACGCAGAGTAGCATGGATTTTCACACAGATTGATCCTTGATTGGATCACGCTATGTGGTGTAAGTGGGGAGGATCCTTCACTTGAAGCATCATCATCTTTCTTCACCGCAGAGTGCTTGGATCCGGAGAGGTCAAGCAGAGCAAGAGTTTTCTTAATCTTTTCAGCAACATCGCTTCCTCCTTCAGATGCGTTTGTGGAAGATCTTGCTCCTTTTGAGGATGAAGATCCGAAAATAGGGGTTGATGCGGACGACACTTGGGGTGCTTGTTGTCTTAAAGAGCTTGCTTTGCTCTTCGTAGCTGATTCTCGGAGCTTCCAAAGGTAACATCGAGGATGCTTTCCACATCAGCATAGAACCTGGAGTTAGCAGCCTTGGTGGATGTTGATCTGGAGTTGATTTTCTTCGAAGCCATTTCAATGTTCTTGAACTTTGGTGATTGAAAAGTTGAGATGAGAGGTAGAGATTGTCCCACTGTGCGTGCCAGAATTTGTAGACAATAAATTTACGTCAAGAAAATAAAATCAAGACCGAAAATATTGCAACAATCGTAGTACTTTATTTCGAATATTTGAATGTTACAATCTCTATGGATCCTCTGATTCCTCTTTCCAATTGTAAATAAATTCAATGTCACGACCCAAACCGAAGGGCCGCGACAGGCGCCCGGTGCCTTACTCAACCGAGTACCAACATAGCATATCTTTCTTATCATACTATCATAGGTAAATGAGCTAGAAAACCCGTCAATACTCAACATATGACGACCCAACATGATATACAAACTTATACATGTGACATACGGGCCTATAAGGCCGACATGACCATTTGTAAACTCAAAACATAGGCCGACAAGGCTATACAAGTATCCATATACCTGACATCTGTCTACAAGCCTCTAAGAGTACATAAAATCATAAAGGTCGGGACAGGGCCCCGCCATACCAATCAATACCTATCCAAAGCATACTGACCAAATAGGCAACTCCGGAGCAAGTGGAGTGCACCAACACTTCCGCTGAGCTGATAGCCTACTTGGAGGACTGTCAACCTATCAATCGGGACCTGCACGCATGAAACGCAGCGTCCCCAGGCAAAAGGGACGTCAGTACGAATAAAGTACTGAGTATGTAAGGCAAGAAAGCATAAACAAGAACAGTAATATAAAGTGAGATAGAGGAGATACAACCTGTAACATCTAAGTGCCTCTGGGGGCTACTGATATGAAATGCATAATACATATATATGCATAAAATTTTAAAAACATTTGCCTCTGTGGGCATCATCATCATCATATCATACCCGGCCTCAAAGAGGACTCGGTAAAAACGTACCCGACCATCATAAGGCTCGGTAGAATCGTACTCGGCCACGTGGAGCTCGGTAAACCCAACTGATCAGTGGTTGCACAATAGGTGCCGTACCCGGCCGACTATAGCGCGGCTTGGTAGAGTAAAATAGATACATATATATATATATATATATATATATATATATATATGTATATATATATATATATATAATGCATGTAGGACTCATTGGAATCATATTCTGAACCTTTCGGAGTGACGTAAGGTCGATATTCTCCGTACACGTTATTAGGAATAACTCTTCATCAAGAATCTTATAAGAATCAGGAAGTACCAACAACATTGATAACGTAAGAATAAGAGAAGCAACCTCAACATCAATTATTCCATAAGAATGGAAACAATGTAAGTACTGCTAGCTTCTAAGAGTAGAGTACCTTTGGAAGCTCGTTCATAGCATTATGTACAATCGAATTCATGCATAAGAAGGAAAGGGATAGACTCATATACCTTGTATATGTATTGCCCAACCTCAAGCTATGCAAATGTCACGACTCTTAAGTCTACAATAAGAGAAATGACACCGTCGTTATCGTTTAAGCGTCGTAACTATTATGTATCGACCACAACCTATTTTACGATGAAACGGACAGCACTTCCCCTATATATATGACTTCACACAAGTCAAAACAATCACCAAACAGCCCCAACATACCCCGATCACTTCATACACAACACGACAACAATAACAGTGTCAAACAATCCGAAAATGTTACGACAAACGACCAGCAAACAACCCTACCATTATGTGGTGTTTCTCCACACCCTTCCTCCTCTCAACTCCATAGAAACAGTAGCAAAAGAGACAACCCAATAGCAACACAAAACAGTCCCACAAGTTCAGCAACTCAACATTTATTTTTCAGTTTACTTAAACACGTTTCGACTTGTCTTTTCTTTCAAATTGAGAAACACAATCAAAATTACATAATTATACCTCTTATCCAATAAACCAACCATGAATTCAACTTAAAAATAGGTTCACAACCAGCCAACCATGACATAAGAACAAACAACATACTACTCTTTCGAAATTCGCTAGATAATGGAAGGAGAAGCATAACCTTACCTTGTACTGATTATAAACCACGAAACCTGGTCCTTCTTTATCAAAAATCAGTTCCTCAACGCGGCTACAAGAAGGAGAAGAGAAACTAGCAAGCTGTCCGGACTTTTCAGCACTAAAATCACGTCGTAACACCCGAAATACCCTAGGGTTTGTGTGAGATTTTTTTGGGGAGGAGGTTTAGGGGTTCAATCTGATTTTTGGTCTGAGAAATAAGTGAATGAAATGAGTTAATATGTCCTTAAAACACCCCTCTTGACCGACTTTAGGGCTTTTAGTTGTGGCCTCTCCTTTTGGCAAGTAGGTGATGCACCTACTTTTCACCTACCATTTTACGCGGTCTCGCAAAAAAATATGAATATCTCTCTACTCAAATGTTGTATCAATGAATGGTTTAATCCGTTGGAAACTAGACTCGTAGATCTTCAATTTGGTAGGTAGATCATCCCATAACTCCAAGTACATTGGGAGAAATGCTCAGCTACATTTGACCTAAATTTCACCATATTTATGAATGTAACTTGTGATGACCTTTTCCAACTTTTGTTTCACAACTCGCTTGACTTCAAAACATGACACACGACTATCATGCGACTAAAATAACTCATAACATAATCTCCTTATAAGGTTAAGCACCCTAGTCTCACCCCAAAAGTACATGTTATAACATTCCCAACTTGTCGACTTTTGACGAAACTTATTTTCTTCAATTCATTTAGCTTCGAAGCCTTCAAACCCTCTTAGTACTTGGTATTTATGATCTTAAATATTTGTAACCTCCATTGTAAAATGATTAACTTACTTTATGTACTTTCAAAAGTTGATCTTATTTCTGATCTTACATCAATTGACTTACAGATAGTCTAACGTACGAAAAAATAGGGTGTAACATTCAAGCGCCTTTGAGCTTGATCTTGAATCTATGTTTGTTGCCACGAACGATGATCTTGAATTCAACTGGCACAAACTTTGATTTGAACTCGCACTCCTTGAACCTTGATTTGTTCTTCGTTCTTGAGCTTGAACTTGATTTGTTCTTCGTTCTTGAGCTTGAACTTGATTTGTTCTTCGTTCTTGAGTTTGAACTTGATTTGTTGAACTTGAACTTGATTGCTTGAAGATTGAAACTTGTGGAGGAATTTGCGGTGTTTGATCCACGAGCTCTCTCTCGCTTCTTGTTATAACTTCTGGTGTCTTTTTTGGGTTATGAAGACCCCTATTTATAGTTGTGGGAGGGAAGAGTTATGATAAGAACAAACTCTTTCGGACCAATCAAATTGAAGTGTGACATGGCCACATTTGATTGGCCAGAACATGTCACTTGCACACGTGGCACAATTTCATTTGCCTTTTAATGTGACTTGGCATGCCTTGTCATTTTGATACATGGCATGATCGTATTGACTCTTCTGTTTGACTTGGCGTGCCACGTCATTTGACACGTGGCACCAAACTGGGCCTCTAGGAAGATGGCATCTTGGGCCTCATGAAGTGGGCTCATCACCTGTAGCCCAACTAAATGGGCTAGCCCAATCATTATTTTGCGGATTTAAATAATTAATTCAATTATATTAGCCCATAATTTTTATTTGGACTAGTATATTTAAAATATAATCCAAGTTATTTATTGAATTTGAATCCAATAAATTTCACATGCCTACAACAACTACTGATCAATTACTTAAAAACAAGCACTAATAAGAAGGCTTGAAATGTCCATTAGAACTATGAACATGCACATTGCTTTCTCTATTAAATGGATATACCAATGATTTAAATCATAACAGCAGTTTTCAGGACCATCATCAACTTCACAAAACAAAAAGTTTATCCTCTTTGAAACTTGTTTATTTTTTGCTCTTTGTCAAAATCTTCAAAATTCTTCAACTTTAACAGCATCACGAGGCATTTCATATGCATCTTTGGACCTTGATTTCTTCACTCCAGCAGTGAACCATATCTTATCAGACTTGTAGCTCTCGACGCTGATACTTGTGACTTTGACCCATACCAAGACCTTGGTCTTCATTCCATCTATTCCAGTGAGCTTTCCCCTTGATAGAGTTCCTTTGACACGTGTAGCATACCGCGTAACAGATGAATCCTTAAAGCAGACCTCACAGGCGGATGGAAAGTAGACAATGAGCTTTGCATTTGACTCATCAAATTCATAGCATGTTATGTTTTGGGGAAAAAGACCAGGAGGTAGGTTGTATTCTCGCAGCAGATCAGGCAAAGATTTTGTAGGTTTGCCTAGCAAAATACAGAATTATTTGCATCAGATTAGCGTGCTCTGGTTGCAGAGAATATGAACTGAAAATGTGTATGAGCTAACTTTACATCCTAGAGATACAATTAGAGAAGTTCCAAAGGACAACTGTTGGGAGCGTGGGTCACCAAAACAATTGTAGTACCCTTTTCCCAAATCCTTTAGGGGTCGTTTGGTAGGTTTGTATAAGAATGGTACTAATACGGTGTATTAGTATTAGTGAGATTAGCTATACCGGGAATATTTCTTATCGATTGTTTGGTTTGGTGTCTTAAAGGTTTTGAGAGAGTAGTTCTGCTTTTACACATGCTTATCCATGTGTTAAAACCGTGGTATTGCTATATATAAGAATAGTACTGGAAAAAACACTACCAAACTAGGAGCTAATAATACCAAAGCTAATACATGTACTATTTCCCCTAATACATCCTACCAAACGACGCCTTAATGTCAATGCTATTGTATGGGGATGTGATTTATGTCAACCCAAAATCTGTATTTGCTCTACATCACAGGGAAACTGTACAGTCCTCAGACCCTCTTAGGATTCGACTAGAAGTTAAAATCACATCACAAGGCGTAGAAGTTAGCCAGAGTAAGCTTAAACAACAACGTGCCGCAGCCATTTCATGACAGCTACTTCCTGTTTTGAATGAATCAAAATTTTGGCACTAAACCCAGTCAAAGACCAATAATTTGGGACGGGATTGTCATACACACAGATGACTAAGTGGGACGCAGTTTTTTGAGCGAATAGAGCATAAAGAGGTAATAGTAGTGACTGTTTATCTGTAAATGTTTTGCAAGTAGAAAAGGCAACTACTCATTCTTGCTTGCTCCTAGTGGAACAAAATAAAGTTTTTCCTATTTTTGCAGAATAAGCCATTCTTTGTCATCCACATGGACCAAAGACACGAATGTGCTAGTTAAATTAAGAATTGTGAACATACCAACTTGAAAACCACATAACTGTTTACTCAAGAAAAACTATATGACTATGTATTTAATCATAGGCAGACAGAAATGCAGAAGTTGATTTTTGAAGTAAATGCATACCTTTTAGCTTGTTGAAAATCCATTTTGCTTTTTCTTCAACAGTGCTCGACAAATTCTGAAATATGTGAAGTCAAACAGAGTGATGAAGTGGTAACTTAGAAGTTTATCTACATATGTAATTACAACAAACTGAATTGCCAAAACTCAAGTTACAGCGTTGTTGATTTTTACTATTTGAACAGACTAGACTTTTATGTCAGTGATATAAAAATTTATGCAGTCTAGGCACAAGTAAACAATGATGATATCCTTGCCAATTTCTGCTACACAGACACATTTCTTTAGAATTTTCTGCTGTGAGTCCAGAAGATATGATAAGCGAATAACAGCATCTTAAGTATGAACGTATAGAAATTGTTGACATGTTCAGCCTCGCTCTTCAAAATGGAGACAGATGCAGTTTTTTAGAATTTACTGCTGTCGATTCAGAAGATATGGTCAGAGAATAAGGAAAAACAGCATCTTAAGTGGAGTATTAGCTTATACAAGATGTTCGTATGTTCAGCTTCACATTCCAAAAGAGAGAATTCATACCAACTGTTGAACATACTGCTTTTCTCATGTCAAAAAGGGTGGCACAACCACATACATAAAATGTTGTAATCAGAGGATAACTGCACATATCAAATCCTATTGGTTGTTAAAAATTTTCATGCCATCACAATTGATCTCGATTTCTAACTGCTTCAACTCTTTTTATTCTCACTGCTCACTCACTCCTTCTATTCCTCTCATTGACTTCAAAAATATCATTGTCCGTCCTATCATCATCCTCAAAAGGACAGTCATAATGGTGACCTGACCAATATCGATGGGAATCACAATCATCAAACAAACAACAATGAACAATAGAAACAAAATGTTCAGCACCTTACCATCTAATGAAAGAATTCAGAAGGCATCACCTAATAGCTTAAGGTTTAGTACTAAGTTTAGACTTAATTGAGGTAGTAGGGTAGCCCAGTGCACTAAGCTCCCGCTATACGCCGGGTTGGAGGAAGAGCCGGACCACAAGGATCTATTGTACGCAACCTTACCCTGTATTTCTGCAAGAGGCTATATTTCCACGGCTCAAAGGTCACATGACATCAACTTTACCAGTTACGCCAAGGCTCACCTTCTTAATTGAGGTAGTAATTAACTTTAAATATCAAGTGAATCTCAAGTAAGATTTCATACAAAAATGTAAAGGGAGTGGGGAGGGGGCTATTTTTCTAGACCCCATCTCTAGATCAAAATTGGGAGTTCCACAATCTACAGCTGTGCATTGATGTCTTCTCCTTGTCCTTTTACCGAGTGGCCAGAATTTTACTCGGGCAGTTGATGAAGTTTATCTTAAATTTATAAGGAACATCATTTCCATGTTAGCCCCAAAATTAAAATAAATTGGTAAAAACAGAGGCAAGTTAACACGTAATTGTTGGTATGAATCTAGCCTCCTGGCGCAGAATTCTTCGAGCAAGCCAAATTTCGCATTCGCATATGTTATGCTAGAAATTAAAATTAGCTGGAAGAAGACAACCATAAATGCACATAACAAGAAACAAAGAAAAGAAAATCCTTAAATGGAAAAAGAAAAAGGAGAAGAGCATACGGAGAGATCGTGAGAGATGTTGGAGATCTCTTCTTTGGCTTTTTTGGAAACCCAGAATGTACTACTTTTCAAGCTCCCTACTTTCGTCAGTGCTTTCTCCATTCTGCTTCTCTCTCTAAGCTAAGTACACACACAGATACTCTCTCTCTCTCTCTCTCGGTTAGAGAGAAGGAAGGAAATGCAACAATATCTGTTTCTCTCAGGATGTGAATTGCCTTTACCGTACTATTGGTGTCACACAACTCATCATTTGTCAGCACATAGCAGACACATAAGCAAAATAACGGCGCTCCAATAACAGCGCTTTAACTTTAAAATTATTTTCGTGTAGGCCGCCGCTTGTACCGGCGACGTGACTTTCCTTTTTTTTTTTTTTTAAATAATAAATTGTTACGTCGCATATTAAAAAAAAAATGACCATTTCTTTTTTGACAGTTTTGTCCCCTGGACTTCTAATTTATTACTACTAGCAAAGCAAATTACATAAGTCAATATTTTTGCCACAATTACGCAATCCAAATATATGATTTGCAATTTAAAAGGCTTCTTTATAATAAAAGATGGCATTTTCCTTTTTTATTTTTTTTATTTTACTGTTTTGTCGTGGGAGCATAGAGCATAGGACACCATTTCTTTTTTATTTAGCAAATTACGCAAATCAACATTTTCCTATTAGATTACTTGTCATCAGATTTCATTTATGTGATCTGCATAATTGCATTTAAAAGGCTTCCTTCTAATTTGGTGCACCCCACCCCCCACCCACCCCCCCAAAAAAAGGGTTTCTATTGCCAGAAAATCTAAGTAGTAGTTTCTAATTCTCAACTACTGTCATCAACAACTAAACGTTTAGTTAATGGGAAACTACGTTAAATGCAACTTTCCTTCCTAGTTAATGTACTTGTAGTTAGTGACCAAACTTTAAAAGTTTAGGCTTTATATCTTTAAATTGACGCAATCTATTTTTCATTTCTCTCTTCCAACTTCCAAGTTTTCCCTTATTTAAAGTAGATCTTTTTAGGGAAAAACAAATCAATCTTGGTGTCTTTTCCTTTTTAGTTTTTTCTGTAATCTCTAGCTTTTTAATCAAGTTTCCATTTGTTAGGACAAGGGCATAAATCAAGATTTTGTTGCCCTCTTTTATAATCTGACGATAGCTGAAAATAGCTTAAAAAAAGTTAGAAACAACTAATGACTCTTCAAAATAAGTAAGCATTGCTAAGAATTACTAGTAGAAAACTGTGTTATAATTTGGGAGGGAAAAAAAATCATATATTAAAGAAATCATGAGTACCCATCGGTAAAAAGGGACCCTCATCGTATATTACCCTAAATCATATTAATTTACCATAGTTAAATAATTTAATAAAGTAAGAATATCTATTAATTAATCATGGTTATATGAGAAAAATTTACATACAAACACATAATATGCATTTATTCGTTTGGTGCAAGCACAAATAAATTTTTGTGTACTCCTATTATTTTGTCCAGTATTTTTTTTACTCTTTTTTTTTGTCGGGGACATGCATTGTGTTCTCATTTTATTTAGGTGGCAAGAAACAATCATGTGATTTTGCCTTAAATCCAATTAGGCAATCATGTGAAATGTTTAACACCTATTTGAAAATCATGTGATGGTGTGGCCGGGGCACCGCCCTAAGCATACTCAAATAACTCAAAAGGCTTCAATATTTCTTAGCTTCCAAGGCTATATTAGCACTCCAGTTAGAACTCCATTATGTGTTTTTTTGTTGTTTTTTCATTCCATATATTTTCAGCTACTAATGTGAGACTTAGAGGGTGTTTGGCTAAGTTTATAAGCTGGTCATACTGGCTTATAAGTACCTTTTGGTTTATCTACGCGTTTGGTAAACACCCAAAGTGCTTATAAGCTAAATTTAGCCATAAGTTGGTCACCCCCAACTTATGACTTTTTAGCTTATAAGCACTTTTAGTTTGACCAAGGTTTTTACTAGTTTATCCTTAGTAATATCTTCTAATTCACAAAATATTTTTTCCTTTCCAACTTTCGTTTCATTCCATATTCGCTGGTCATCTTTTTCTTTACAAAGAAACTTTTCAATTTGTAATCTTTTGTAAAGTTTTAAAGGGTATTTTTTTCATTTTAATAAAAGAACAACTTATAAGCACTTTTCTACCAAACACATCAGCTGCTTATTATCAGTTTCAACACGTCTATCCAAACACGTAAATGCTTATTAAAAAATCAATTGCAGCACTTAAAAATACTTTTCAGCACTTCAAGCTTATCAACTATTTACAATCAGCTAATCCAAACGGGCTCTTACTCGATTTTGTTTGGATGAGTCTTTTCCGAATTCTTTTTTAAAATTCAGCAGGCCGGGGTTCACACATTTATGATTTATGAAACTGGGATGTTGATCCGCTAATTTCTTTTCGTGCTCGTTACATTTATTTCCTAAATATGTTACACAAATAGTGCTTACTAATTTTTTTTTTTTGCACATAGCTAGAATATTAGGTACAGGTATGATAATTGAATCGATGCAACTAAACTATCATGTAGTCTTAAATGAGTCGACTGTCAAATCATGAGGTAAACTATTTTATACTCTAGTGATTGAGATTAACGGTAACATAGAAGAACCTCGGCCGTATTCACGTGACCAAAATCAGAATATGGAAACTAAGCTAGTGTTTGGCTATAAATTTTCAAATTTATTTTGAAAAATTTGATTTAGGTGAAATTTGATTTGAAGATAAAAATGTATTTGGACATCAGTTTTCAAAATATATTTCCCAAAATTTATTTTGGAAAAACATGAAACAGGACTTATAAGTGCTAAAAACTATCACAAATACTTAACAGTACCATTATCAATAACTTTCATTATATTATCGAACCATAGTCCTGAACATAAATAAATTTGGTACAAAATAAATGAACTACATGATACATTATCAGATGACCGAGAAGACGAAGCAACATTGTTACAAAACAATAAATGGTGGGCTCTTTTATAAAATACAAAAGTTTGGGGCCATTTTTAAAAAATATAATAGTGATATTTTGGCCAAAAACTAGCTATTGAGCTGGTTTTGAGTTTTGGGATTTGGCCAAAATGTAGGCAAAATCTATGGCCAAACATGTGTTTGCCAAATAAAATCCAAATTTATTTTGGTAAAATCTATGGCCAAACGGGTCCTAAAAATGTTTAATCGAAATTAAAAGGAGAGAGAAAAAGGGTGTATGTGTTCTAATAAACGTAGTACAATGCTAATTTTCTGTTGGATACTTACGAGTTACGATGTGCAATGAATTAATTTTTGATGCACCCAGAAAGTTTCTGTTTATTGGAAAATTTGTGTGACACTCATAGGGTCATAGTGAACCTTACTATTGTGTAGATTCTCTTCCTTGTAATATATGACTTGTATATGAGAGTTTCCCTGCATTTTTTTTTGCTAAATTAATTGCATTTTTTAAATTAAAATAGGAAATTTAAGGAGGTTCAATTACTTTTAACTTAACTATATAATAAGTGAAGCTTTTTGGACGACCAAGGGTAAAACTGTCATTTAACTCAATTAGTTCTGATGACTTTTCACTGACACGTGTTTCTTATTTGCGGGATGGCTGGCTTCACTTTGTGCTTGTGGTGTTACTTACGATTTAGGAACATGTATGCATTCCTGCTTTGGGGATTTTACAACTTCCTTTTGGAATTCCATAGAAATATTTCGCTCCATCTTTTCTTCTGCTGTCTTCTTTCCTCTGTTTGGTGAGTTTTGTTGTTCTTCTTCTTCCCCTTTGCTTATTGGTTTGTTACTACTATTCTTTATCTTTAATGTATTGGGTCTTTTGAAGGTGGAGATTGTTTCTAATTACTTACATACCATGAACAAATAAGAAGACCGAAGTAAGAAATATTAGGAGTGTTGACTGTTGGTTCAAATAATCTATGTCAGCAACTATTATTTATTTTTATGTTCCATTCGCCGAATTATGAATGGATTTTCTTACTGATTTTTTGGCGGTCTTTCTTCATGTTCTCTATACGGATTCTGCGCATGATGGGAGTTTCAGCAAGAGTACATATAGACTTGTAGACTTCATAATCTAATATAATCTTCCTTGAATTTTTCTCTATTTTCTTCAATTTTCTTTGTATTCTCAGCCATGCATGTCTTTAAATCAAATTTTTTTAGAAAAGAATTTTTGGACATCTTTAGCTTTTGGGTAGTTTTTTATTGGATGTTTTATCGAATTTGCTCATGCGTATTTTATTTTTCCACAATTAATCAATTTAATTACGCCGAACAGTTTGGGATTTTCATTAAGCTGTATAGTTTCGTCACTATTTCAATGTTTTCTTTCTAAGATGAATTTGAGTTGATTTTTTCTTGAAGATTAATTTGAGTTGGATTTTTGGGAACCTGATTGCAATTTGAATTTTGAGTCTAGCTGCTTATCACAGGCTTTTGAAAGTGGAAGCCGCTCAAGATGGGGAAAAAAGAAAACTGTTTCGACTATAAGAGGTGATTTCTGCACTTTTTTGGTCTAATGTTGCGTGGGTAATTGTAATGCAAAATGATTGTGCTTTACATTTCATGTGTATGATATAAGGATGTGTCTACTCCAAGAATAAACTAAATATTAAAATTACGAAATGTATCCCTTAATAAAGAACCAAACACAGGTGACAATGTTGTATTCCCCTTTAGATATTACATAAGTATTTGGAGAAATTCAAGCATGACAAAGAATGATTTCATGTTTGGATTGTTATTGCATATCATTTCATAATGGTTTTATACCTTATATTATATACTATGTTGAAACAATATATAGATTATATTGATGTAAGCTACTAATATACCCTTATTAAGATAATAGATTCCTCAACAATTCAAAACTTAAAAACAAAAATTATTATAAATGAGATGGTGAAGTGGCTAGAAAGAGGAAGACTTTGTCTACAATGACGAGGATTAGTACCTTTACAAAATGCAGAGCAAACACTCTGAGGGAAAGCAACATAGTATGCCATACTATGCTATTTATAATGGTTTACCTCAAGCTTTCTATATGAAGCAACAATGGAGCTAAAATCAGCAGTTTTGTGAGAGGGTTGTGGGTATCAATTTCCCAAATGAGCCCATTTGTGATTTAGCCATCCCTTTTGGATTCCTTTGAAATTTTGTGCATTTTTGCTTCAATTTTGGTGTTCTTAATCTTTCTCATAATTTCTTGCTAGATATCTTACATGCATGTCAGTAGTTCTGTCTGATATGCACATGCATGTTTGAAATTAGATAGCTGATACATGTAAATGTGTATTATTTTTGACTGCACGTTGATGTCTTCTCGCCTTTTGGAACTAATTAATTACTTAAACTTGAAACTTCTATGCAAAAATTTATAGTATTAAGCTTGCTGTTGCAAGATTGGGTCTTCCAGTCTCTCCAAAGGGGGTTAAAAATGCAAGAGGATTCAAGTGCAAAAAGGACTCAGAGGAGCCAATAATTGCAGAAGAGGAGCAGCAAACTCAGAAATGACGAGGTAAAAAGGCTAACCTGAAAAAGCTGTTTATCACAGATTTAATATTGACTTTTGGCGGCAAGTCTGTGGATGCAGGTTCACCATTAGACTATTCTAGAAATTTTTATGCAATGCCGCTTTGCGTATCATTGGTGTTATAACTTTGGACATTGGTTTAACCGTTTAAGCTATTTGTCTAGGTTTCTTTGTTGGTTTTTTCCCATTGTATGCCATTAATGCCTGTTTATAGACTGCAAATGTATGCATTTTGCTCTTGATATTATTTGCTGAAATTTTGCAGGGATGTTTGTGTCGGGGTTGTACAGGCAGAATGAGGAGAATTTTACGAAGTCAAGTAAGTCTTTGATTGCCTTCGGAATTCTTGTCGTATGTTGCAGTTTATAAATTTTGTAAGTATTTTAATCTTGGTGATTATGGTTTCTTAACTTTCATATTTTCTGATTATCATTTCTCTACTCCTAATGCAATTAACCATATTCAAGTTACATTGCTTCTGTGTTTTTTTTTTGCTTTGTTTGTACGAATAAATGTGTTTTTCAGGATTTATTCCTTAGCCTTCTCATTAAGGGTAGGTTTATTAAAAATGTGTATCTGTTCTTCAGAGCATTCTTTCGGATGACAAATATTAATTATGCATTCATGATTCATCCTTCAATCATAATACTTATGTTCAAAATGAGCTCACAGAAGGACCGAGCAGAAAAGAAGTTCTGTATATTATAGTTGCATCAAATTTCAACCGAATGAGTATGAAGTTATGATGTACAATAATGAGAAAAGGAATGAGACATTAAAGACAAAGAACAGGAGATTCCATCAGTGAAATGGCCAAAGTGCTTAGTAACAAATATGTAAACTGCACCGATTGGACATTTTGTCGAATTTGCTCATGCGTGTTTTATTTTCCTACCATCAATCAATTTAATTACATCGAACAATATTCTTGAGATTTTCATTAAGTTGTATAGTTTTGTCACTATTTCGATGTTTTCTTTCTAAGAAGAATTTTAGTTGATTTTTTCTTGAAGATTAATTTGAGCTGATTTTTTTTCAGGGAACCTGATTGATCTTTAAATTTTGAGTCTAGCTGCTTATCACAGGCTTTTGAAAGTGGAAGTCGCTCAAGGTGGGGGAAAAGGAAAACTGCTTTGACTATAAGAGTATATTCCTGCACCTTTTTGTTCTAATATTGTGTGCTTACTTATATTGCATGATGATTGTGCTTTATATTTATGGCTTTGAGATTTTGGGGATACCCTTCATGAGGTTCTTTTTCTTTACCTTTTTATTTAACATTAAGTTATTCAAGTGACAGAGATCTAGGCTTGAACATCAAGTTTCTGAAGCATTAGTGTAGGTTGAGTTATGGCTGAAAGATATTCTTTTGTAATTTTCTTAATATGTTGATCATTGGCTCAACTCTGGCAGAGGAGTTGAAGGATTTTCTGCCAGTGCTAAAATATTCGTAAGAGCATACTATTTGGTCGAGAATCCAGTATTCTCGCCTTTTCCCTTGAGTGGAATTGAGTTTTTTTCTTCTTTTGTTGTATTTGTCACATGTTGATTGTTGTGTGTGCTTATTGTACCTTGTGTGAATGGGGTTGTCAAATAGTTTCTTGTATAATTAATCAGTACAAAATTGATGTTTATACTAATCTTACATCTCTTTTTCTATTCCTGCATTTCTAATATTTCTTGTGGAATGTTGGTAATGGTGTTTTGCAAAGAGGAAACTGATGGAGCATTATATGACCCTAAATTATATATAAAGGACATGGAAGTTATGTTCCCAAGTACTTATTTACTGCTTCCACTTTTTTCTTTTATTGTCCTTTGAGTATCTCTACATTTGCTTTCTAATTTGTTACAAAGTTTATTTTTTTTTGGTTTCTAAGACTACAATTTTGATTTCCATCTGTTTATTCTATTTACTTTTTGTATGATACAATGTTGAGATAATTCAAGTTCTATTCAAATGAATTTACTTGGTAATACTATTGATTACAATAATACTGAAAAACACTGCATAGAAAAATATTTGGCAGCTACACTTTCTCAAAAACAAAAAAAATCGACGACTACTGCGTTGAGGTACTATTTATTGCGAATATCTTTATATTATATCGAGAATGAAAAAAAAAAAGAAGCATTTTTAGTGTTTTGTAAGATATGAATGGATATCTACATAATTCCCCGTATTTGGCAGTTGTTTAAGGTTTGGGTTTGAACTTGAATTTAGTAAAATACTCTCTGAAGCTCCACTAAAAAGAATTCGATCACTGTGCTTTTACTGCATATTACCTTTTCATATATTTTATTCCTTCATCCTTCAGTCTTGGACAAGGTAAGCCTCACATGCTTATGGTTCTTACTTGAGATAGGTCAGATAGTTCAATGCAATAAAAGTCGCAACAAAGGTTAGTCTATTTTGTTCTTCCATCATATCACATATTATATTTAGATATTAATCTTTAAAAGCATGCAAAGAGATTAGTGGTTGCACGGTGTATTTGATGAATTCAATTGAAATAGTATAGGTCTTCAACTATAAATAACATTAATAGGGAGAGTCCCAAGTACAAATAACCTCCCCCCCCCCCCCCCTAAAACAAAAAAAAATAGTAACATACAATGTTTCATTTGTGTTCCAAGTAAAAATAAAAACACTCTTACACGTAATTTGTAAAAAATTTTACAAAAATTGAGAATGAATATGATGAATAAACGATGACAAGTTCATCCTAGGCAAATGAGAAAGAGATAAAAGAAAGATATGTATTTTGTTATTAATTTATATAGAAAGATAGTGGTCGGAAATCTTCCTACATGTTCTTATTCACAACAACAAACACATCTGAGAGTCTAGAGCATGAACAAATGAATATTTACATTTTGTTTTATCAAAATAATGAAGTTGTAGAAATCACAATACAAAATTAAATGCTGAAATATGTACAGTGGTAACTTATTTTAGAAGATGTTTGATCTTACTGTCTCAAAGTTTCTATGAGGGTGTTTGGCTAAGCTTATAAGCTGGTCAAACTGGCTTATAAGCACTTTTTGGCTTATCTACGCGTTTGGTAAAATTAAAAGTGCTTTTAAGTTAAGTGTTTATAAGCCAAAAATAAGCCAAAAGACATAAGTTGGTCTCCCCCAACTTATCAAATTTCAGCTTATAAGCAGTTTAAGTTTGACCAAAATATTTACTATTCTATCCCTAAAATACTTCTTTTTAAAACAGAACTCTTCGTATACCCAATTCTTTAGCTGCATATTATTAATTTCAGCACTTTTATCCAAACACGTAACTGCTTATTTTTTAAATCAGCTTCAGCACTTAAAAGTGCTTTTCAGCATCTAATGCTTATCAGCTACTCTAAATCAGCTAAGCCAAACGGGCTCTATATTGTTGGAAGTTATGTTGTTAAATTTGCTTCATATGAAATACCTTATTTGCAAATTTTAGTCAAAACACGATATCTTATCTGATTTTAGCCTTGATCGGCTCTGCAACTTACTCTCATCAATTACTCTTGCTTAATTTTATGTATCTGTTGGTAAAGATTACTCGTTTTCCCTCTTTTCCTGTTTAGTATTTGATATTCACTAAAGGCATAACAGATATTGTGTTGTTTCTTGTACAAATAAAAAAAGTATGTTGATGGTTCTTGTACTGCATCCACTTTTTATGTTCATTAGAGCTTCTTTTTTTTATTTCCTAATGCTAATTTTAATTGTTGGATACGCAATGTAGTCTGCTAACAAGAGAGGGTCTTGAAGGTGGTGAGTATTGAGCTAGCTGTAGGCATGGAAGTGAGAAGCATAGCCAGAAATTTTTTGGTTGATGTGTCCAAAGCTGGACTTATAGATGAAAATGCTTCTACCTGCAAGAAAATCCAACCTAAGGCACGAGTAACAGTGGTGATTGATGTCACATGGAAGACATTGATCACTGATAAAATAGATATGGAAGACTTGGATCGGTGTTGCACAAGTCAAATATGGCCAATAATAGGTTTTTCTACCAACTCGTGTTATGAACGTGAGGGGAAGAACTGCAGCTGTTCTCATTTCTGAAAATACTTTTGGGAATTTGGATTCTGTTCATTGATCGGCTTACTCCACCGGGAGATGGACCGAATGGTTTGATTTGGTATCTTCGATATCCAATTTAGTGAAATCACTACCAATGGGGTTGATGTGTTCATATGTAGCAGTTTGACTAGGTTCCCAGTCTATGGAACTTTTCAACACAACATTTGTGAAATGATCACTCGATCAGTTGGAAGACAAATGTGGTGATTTAATTCAAGTATGGGCGTGTTTAGATGAGAAAGACATGCCCAAGAACAATAGAGACATTTGCAATTTTTCCTCATTGTGCTAAATCATATTATTTCAGCTGAATTAATGGAATTTTAGAGCCTATATTTGACGTATTGATGTTCGCCCGTGCACGGGCAACCATATCTAATCAATATATAAGGGAATCAATCTTGACGATTGAGTTCCAAAAAAATCTAATATTGTATCAAAAGAAAAAATCCTCACAAGTTTCTGCTCATTATTCCATAGTTTTATGCACATTCTACTTTTATTTATTTTTACGCATTCTTATTTTCACTTTCAACATTGCCTTAATAGGTACAAGTATAAGATAACTCAATTTTTACTAGTGTATAGTGAAGCTTAGGTGTACGAAAGAAACTGACAAATCGCACAAAATCGATAATCCAAGTCAAATCGAGAAAAAAAATTCGATTATGGTTCCGTTTAATTTGGTTTAATCAAAAGAGCTTGCAGAGTTATCGATTGACCCAATTTAAAGGAATAGTCAAGAGATGTTCTTCATAAAAATATTCATTCGGCATATTCTTGCATACGTACATAGCACTTATCATTAGGTTATTTTAACGTCACTCTCATTCATCTGGAAGAGGAATTTGAATCCTTAATATAGCTTAATCATCTGTTGAAATCGAAAGACTCAATAGAATTAAGAGTGAACTAGCCCAGAGTTATCCCCAATAATAGTAGATCACATATCTTGGTTCCTCATATTGATATTCAATCGTTGCTACTTAGTCACTCAATTTTCATTATTCATTCACAATTGAGAATCTTAGTTTTTATTCTTACTTAGTTAATAACTCAAAATCAAAGGTTTATTTTTCTAAATAGTGTTATGCTGAAGATTTCTTTGACCATTATTTAACTCAATCCCTGTGGAAACGATTTAATACTATACTATCTTTGACTAGTGAGCCTAAGTTTTATACACCGGTTTTGCGCTCGTCAAAATTTGGGGCCGTTGCCGGGGATTGACGATTAATAGTGTTGAAAATAAATTTCAGTGCTAATTCAGGAATAATTTTATTTTATTTTATTTTTACGCTCTTCTTATCGGTGTGCATGCAACAGGATATTTTCAGTGGTGTATGACTCGATCCTCCTCCAAGGAATTGGTGTCATACAATCCGGAATTAGACAAGCACCCGCGTCAGTTGAGAAGGGAGAAAGAATCGAGTGGATCCTTTTTGGGTCAGACTTCGACTCAAAATACAATGGTGAACAACGAAAAGGAAGTGGACTTAGCTGCAAGAGAGGCAGCTTAACAACAAGCTGCACGATTAGCAGCTGAAGCAACCCTTAGAGTTGCTGAGGAAACGGTCGAAGAGGATCGAAGATTCAATCTTAACCGACCCCTGGTTGAAGATGAGTTTAAAAATGCAGCTCCGAGGCCTGGGAGGTCTCCAGGAGATTATGCTAGACCAGTCTACAACCAGCGACAATCCAGTGTGAGGCCCCCACCCATTGATGCTAATAGTTTTGAACTCAAGTAGCGAGTCATCCAGACCATTCAGAACAACTGCATCTTCAGAGGCAAACCCGATGAAGATCCCAACAACCATCTTATGGACTTCGATGAAATCATGAACACATTCCGCTATAATAGAGCATCACATGATCCCATCTACCTCAGAGCATTCCCTTTCTCACTTAAGGATGATGCAAAGGAGTGGTTAAGGAGTTTACACTCGATGCCATTATCGTTTTTCAAGAAACTGGAAGGAGAACTAGGAGTGATCAAATCTGGCTGATCAGACGACTATCATACCAGGGCATAATTGAGGATATTCTGCTGATGTGGACAAGTTTGTCTTCCCGGTGGACTTCATTGTAGTAGATGTAAAAGTGAATAAGAAGGTACCTCTAATCTTGGGGAGACCATTCCTTTGCACTGGTCGGGCTATTCTTGACATATATGAGGGTCAACTCATGCTACGAGTCGGAAACGAAAAAGTGATGTTTCAAATGAAGAGAATAATGAAATACCCGTGTGATGAGGCATCTACTTATTCATGTTTCAAACTGGATGTGGTAGGAGAGTTAGCTGAACAACACAAGCTTGACAAGCTGGTAGGTGATTCATTGGAAAGATGCATTACTCAATCGAGTACATCAGAGGATGAAGACCTTGAGATCAAGAAAGAAGCCGAGGCATTGGAAGATGAAAATCAAGTGATAGATGAAGAAGAATTTGAGAAAGAACAACTCAAGCCAAAGCTGGAATTGAAAGTACTCCCAACATATTTAAAATATATTTTCTTGGAGACTAACAATTTTTCTGTGATTGTTTCTGCTGATTTGACAGGTGAACAGGAACACATGCTGTGGAATTACTGTAGAAGCATAAAAAATCAATCGGTTGGAGCATAGCCGACATTCAGGGAATTAGCCCTGCAATCTGCATGCACAAGATCTTGTTGGAAGAAGGGATCAAACCGGTAGTACAACCCCAGTGCAAATTGAATAAAAACCTAAAGGAGGTTGTGTAGAAAGAGATACTCAAAATGCTGATGCTGATATAATATTTTCCATCTCCGACAGCCAATGGATCAGACCCGTACATGTTGTGCCAAAAAAAGAGGGCATGAAGGTGGTGAAAAACGAGGACAACGAGCTAATTCCTACAAGAACTGTCACTGGTTGGAGGATGTGCGTAGACTACCGAAGGATGAATGATGCAATTAGAAAGGATCACTTTCCTCTTCCCTTTATTGATCAGATGTTGGAGAAGGTATCAGGGCGGGGATGTTACTGCTTTTTAGATGGTTATTCAAGGTACAATAAAATACCCATTGCTTTTGAAGATGTTGAGAAAACCACATTTACCTGCCCTTCCGGAATCTTTGCATACCGGAGAACGCCTTTTGGACTTTGCAATGCACCAACTACTTTTTAGAGGTGCATGATGTCAATTTTTTCATATTTGAATGGGAAGTGTCTGGAGGTGTTCATGGATGATCTTACTCTCTTTGGGGATGACTTCAAGGATTGTTTGAGGAATCTAGAACTTGTACTGAAACGGTGTGAAGACACTCACCTAGTACTCAACTGGGAAAAGTGTCACTTCATGGTCAAGGATGGGATAGTCTTGGGCCACAAAGTCACAGCTGAAGGTATCGAGGTCGACAGGGCTATGGTAGATATGATCGCTAATCTCCCACCACCAACTTCAGTGAAGAGCATCAGAAGCTTTCTAGTGCATGCAGGGTTTTATAAAAGGTTCATCAAGAATTTCTCCAGCATCACCAAGCCCCTAATATCATTACTTGCCAAGGATGTGAAGTTTGTCTTTGATGTAGAGTGCCTCAAAGCATTCGAGTTGATCAAGGAAAAGCTAGTGAGTGCCCCCATAATGGTAACTCCCGACTGGAGCGAACCCTTTGAGATCATGTGCGATGCTAGTGATGTGGCAGTGGGAGCAGTGTCGGGGCAGAGAAGAGATAAAATATTCAGACCCATCTACTATGCAGGCCGGACTTTGAATGATGCCTAGGTGAACTATGCTACCACGGAGAAGGAGTTCTTTGCAGTGGTCTTTGCTTTCGACAAGTTTAGATCCTATCTAGTGGGAAACAAGGTGATAGTGCATACTGATCACTCGGCATTGAAATATTTGCTGAGCAATAAAGAGTCAAAACCGCATCTGATGCGGTGAGTATTGTTGCTGCAAGAGTTTGATCTTGAAATCAACGACAAAAAGGGCACGGAAAACCAAGTGGCTGACCACCTATCGTGATTGAAACCACCTCAAGAGGAGAATGGTAGTTTAGAAGAGCTTATGTATAAGTTCATGAATAGTGTTGAAGAAAGATTTATAAAAAATCAAGAAGGACTTATACAAAATGCTAAAGCCATTAAGAACTTAACAACGCAAGTCAGTCAAATGGTAAATATACTTTTAGAAAGCTCAATGCATTGTGATGATGAATATATGGAGGAGATACCTTGTGAGAATGAGTCTACCAAAGAGGATGAGCATCTACAGAGAGAGCTTTCCACATTGCAAGAGGACTCTTATTCAACTGAGATAATTGAAGATAAGCCTTTGGTTGAGTGTGAAGCAATGGAAGAAGAGTTCAAACCCACATCCACCTTTTCACATTTACAATATTTAGTAGAAGAGAGTGAAGAACAAATGGTCTTGGACATACTATATCGACCCGACTTGTCGTTTTAAGAATTTATGCCTCATTCAATGACTTAAGGTCTCGAGCAGCTTCGTAATATATATTATGACTTGCGTGTGCAATCCGTAAATTTTTCTGGAATGTTTTTATATGAAAAATTGATTAAAATGTGAAATAGAGCTTTAAAACTCAACTGAGTTGACTTCGATCAATATTTTGAGAAAATGGACTCCGATCTGTGTTTTGACTATTCCGGTAGGTCCATATCGTGATTTGGGACTTGGGCATATGCCCGAAATCGAATTCGGAGTTTCCTAGCTCAAATTATTGCCATTTAACGGAATATAGAAAGCTTAGGCTAAATTTCTAAAGTTTGGCCGGAGATTGACTTTTGAGCAAACGACCCTGGAATGAAAATTTTGATGATTCCAATAGCTTTGTATGATAATTTCGGATTAAGGTGTATGTTCGGATTTGGATTTGGAAGTCCGTAGGTCAATTCGACACATTTTGGCGAAAGTTGGAAAATATAAGATTTTGGAAAAGTCCGACCGAAGGGTGAATTTTTGATAACGAGGTCGAATTTTGATTCCGGAAATGGGAATAGCTCCATTAAGTCAATTATGACTTGTGTGCAAAATATGAAGTCATTCCGGATTGATTTGATACGTTTCGGCACAAAATATAGAAGTTGGAAGATTTGAAAACTTATAATTCGATTCGATGCGCGATTCGTAATTTCGGTGTTGTTTGACGTGGTTTGAAGCCTCGACTAATTTCGTATTGTATTTTGGGACGTGTTGGTATATTTGGTTGTGGTTCTGAGGGCCTCGGGTGGATTTCGGAAGGTTAACGGACCAATTCGGACTTGAAGAAAAGCTGCTGGAATTTCTGGGTAGCTGCTGTTTTTTTCGCAGGTGCGTGAACAGTACCGCAGGTGCGTGAAAGGTAACTGCAG